CCATAAAATTTACAGTAAGTATTTTAATTTGTAAACATACAATAACATCTACCAATAAAACGAACTTTAGTGTTAAACTATTTAAGTTGTTTACGATTAGTAAGCCTAACATTACCTTATTCAGAATTTATTATTTAACTATTGTTCTATAGTAAAAAAAGTTCATTTTTGATTATAACAATGATAAGAGAGTTGTATAGGCTGATTACAAATATCAAAGAAACATTTCTTTACAAAGCTAACAAATAGAAATTTGGAATTTTATCTAATAATTCAAACTAAATTGGCATTGAATAATGAAGTTTCTACCCGAATTTCTTTGGGTAAGATCATTTTATTTTATGAGAAAATAAATCAAGAAATATTTTCATACATAATTTATTTGTCTTTGAAACGATAATTTATAGCTTGTTTACATAATGCATATCTGTACCTGAACACTAAATCCTTTATTAAATGAGAAATTCCTTAAAGACAAAGAGATCTATTTAAAAGTTAATATTTTTTCCCAACCTTCGTGTTACAGTGTAATCTCTTTAACTTTTGTTGTACTTAAATAAAATTACCCATTTAGAAATAAAAATAATGTTATAAATGTGGAACTTTTAACAAAAAAAAAAAAAATATAGTTTCTTTTTTTTTTTTTTAAAAAAAAAAAAAAGGAAAATTCCTTTACAATGCAAGAATATACAAAAGTTTTCGTTGAAAATAAACTTCTTTTCAATAAAAATAAAAATTCCGATAAGAACATCTCGGGATTAACTAAACGTTTCTCAAAATTACGTAAAAGTTTCTCGTCCCGAGATTCAGTCGTTGGACTACTATCATCCGAGATTAACAACTATTATCAAGATAGCATAAATGAAAATAAACTTCAATCTTCAGACAATATCTTCGCTAGAATAAAATTGGTGGTTAACCGATTTTCTGGTACAGGAAGTGGAAGAAGTCGTCATAGTGAAGCTTATCACCAGGATGGAAAAACAAATCCTTTTGAATGAAAATTTCATTATCATTATTTATGTATTTATTTCATCTATTTTAATTTATTTCTTTTATTTACTTACATCAACGACTTAAGTTAGGGTTTCATTTTTACATCATAATTGATTTACACTCATTTTAATACATTCAATGTATTCTACTTTTGATTATGATGTTCGCTGATCTTTATCTTAATCACGTTTGGGTAAACATCTTACTTTTCTTGGTAATTTTGAAAGATCGTTGGTAATTCACATGAACAAACTTAAATCTATTTTATCATTTCATTCAACATATGTAAGTCAGATGATTTTTTAAATATATTTTATATAAAAAAGTTAAAAAAAAAAAAATTAGGCAGGAACTATTTTTTTTTTTTTTTTTTTCATTTTTCATTTTTACAAACATATTTATAATTAGTAGTCAAAGTTTTTCTTTTTTAGCATGGGTGCCATAAATTCAAAAACGAGATATAAAAATAAAAAATTATTTGTTCATAAAAATTGTGTATCGGAAAGAAGAAGTTCTTCGGAAAGTTTTGAACAATGTAACGAGCTAAAAACTTTTGGAAATCGAAAATATTTAAATGGAGACAATGTTCGATACATTTTTCCAATTGACCATGATGAATTAAAAAGGTTAGAATTAACGCATACCTGGAATAAAGCCCTATGGAACGAACAATCATTTGCTTTACCTGCATGTGAAGTTTTTAACCGAAATGCTAAAATTTTGGATATTGGGTAATTATTATATTACGCGCATACATACACACACACATATATTTTACAATTCATTAATAATAACTTTGATTTATTTAATTCCTGATTAAGATGTGGAAACGGAATTTGGTGGTAAATTTTCCCATATATATTCATATATATATCTTTAATAATAATGTGATTTTTTTTTTTTTCTTCAAAAATAAAATGATGTTAAATTGAAGTGTTTATACTTTGGTTATAAAGTCTGGACATGGCGCAAAAACATCCGAATTGTCATTTCACGGGCTTAGATGTTTATTTTCCGCCTGACATTGACATAAAAGGGGAAAATGTTAAATTTACATTAGGAAATATCTTAAATGGACTTCCTTACGAGGACAATTCATTTGATTTAGTTTTTATGAGAAGCATGAAAGGTTGTTTCACTAACAAGGATTACAACTCATGCTTACAAGAAATGATACGTGTATCTTGCAGATGGATATTAATAATTGACTCTGATATCGTATTAATTGATGGAGGTCCTTTAGCGACCCAATTGAGAGATCAAGGTTAGTTAGTAGTAAACGAAATTATTACAAAAAAAAAAAAAAATTTTTTTCCTTTCACACTTAATGGTATGATTTATACATTCTTTAATATTAATAGTTCTTGATGAACTACTGACAAAATTTGACATAAGTATGATGCCAAGCTCAATTATTCGAAAATGTTTAGAAAGTAGTGATAAGTTATCCGATATCTCTTTTGACGATGAACAATGTCCAATTGGAAAGTGGGGAGGTGAAATAGGAATGATTTATTGGCAAATTCTGAAATGGTCTACAAAGAATATATATCATTCAGTTTCATCATTAGGATATTCTGAAGAGGAATATAATTTAATGATCGATGAAGCATTTGATGAATTAAATCAATACCACGCATATAATATGGGGTTTAGAATTTGCGCCAAAAAAAAGATGCTTGAAAAAAGATTGAGTTCAAAATATTTATTATTTTAAGATCCACACGAGAATAATATTTAATAATTTTAATTTTTTAATTGTTGTATTTATTGTATATTTAAATATTTAATTACGCGATAACATCATGTATTGTAAAATATAATAAAAACATATCAATTTTATCTGTCGGTGTCAAGGGTGCAGTGATTCTTCTTATCTTGGTGATTCTAAAACAAACTTGTAAACTAATCTAATGAAAAAAGCCATTGATATGAAAAAATCAAATGTTCCATCCTTAAAACTAATCGATACTTCCCGTTTGAAAGAAAATGTTAGGAACATATTACGAAACGAGCTTTCCTTGAGGAGTAGAATCCAATTTATATATTATAAGAATTATGGTCAACAATCCTGGTTTAATTGACGAGATGAGCTTTGGTATTAGGAGTAAACCTGTACATCATCAAATGTTCTAGATGATCAGTTGTGTATATCCATTTTAAAATTTGACAATTTGAATTCCTGATCAATTTTGTCATCATCATCAACGGAAGTTTCCTAAATTCAATAATCTTTGGTGTACTTGCAATACATTTTAATTGATGTAGTTGTCCACATTTAATTGGTTTGTATATATACGAATATATATATAAATAATGATTTTAATCCCACTTTTAAAAATGAATGTAGGTCCAATGTTTTTGATTTCGAGGTTAATACTCTTTCGATGCTTACACTATATATGTCTACAAAAAATGTCACGTTACTATTGCGTTTCTCTAACTACCCCAAAGAGCACCCAGAAAAATTCTTCGATCATGTGATCTAAAATTATTTATCATCTGTGTCACACCCTTCGCGTTTTCCATTTTCATAAGTATTCTAGGGATTATGGTGGCTGTCACCTATAAACCGCATTAGTCCGAAATTTCAAACGTCGATTATCACGTGATATTCACGTGATTT